GACGACATCCGCATCGATCTTTTTGATGTTGAAGCATCTTGGAGCTTCATAACCGTCAAACTGCTGGAAACAGTGCAGGCACCAAACGGCCGAGTGAGATGACAGAAGAAAACAACAGCAGCTCAGAAATAAATGAGTTCCAAACTGGTTTGGGTCGATGGCAAAGAACCACCACAGAAGCCAGTAATGATGCAATTCCAAGAATCAACAGGGTCAAACCCAGGAACGCTGTAAGATGATGACTGTCGAGAAAATTAAATATCGATCCACGCTGGGCAGGGGTGGAGATAAAACAAAAAGAGTCACTGCCATTGAGGGCAAATACTGCTCTGTTTTGTCTGCAACATGAAGGCCGACGTGATATTTATACACACTAACCTTCAGAACATCTCCTCTCCCCTGCTCTGATACAAAGTGTGTGTTCTTGTGTGTGTTTGTGAATCTACACATTCAATCTGTCCCACATTTCTACTTCAGCATCCAACCTGTAACACACCTCATCCCATAATATCACATACATTAACCCTCTTATTAAAACGTATACCAACACAGCTATAAGAAAAGTTTGAGAGTGTGTGTGTGTGTTAGCCACATGTTTTCTGTGAGTGCCAACCAATGGTGTTACTAGTGGTATTTAGTGTGAATGTGTGCCATACAAGCATAAACTGGTTTTACACAGATGTGCCTTCCAAACCATTTGTCAAGTAAGAGCAGCTTTGTTTAAAACTGTACCTACATGTTAGCGCTATAACACAAATGTTTAGACCCCGTCCCATTAAAGCCTATAAACACCTCTTTGCCAGTCTCTGAAGCATAGTTTGTATGTACAGTACTGCTATGACAACATGAGTAAATTATCTAATTTACGTAAGTTAGGTCCGTAACACATTATTTTCTTTAAATAAGTGAGAAAAACCACATCATTTGAACGCAATTCTTTTGAAATGTTACCATCAACTAATCTGCCAGTTTTTCCATCAATTGTTTTGTCCATAAAAAGATACACAAAGAAAATGCCCTTTGCCGAGTTGTCGAGGTAAGAAAGACAAAACTAAAGATATTAAGTTTACAACGAGGTAAGAAATAAGGGTCGAAGAGAAAGATGCCTAAAATTGTAAACCCAATATCTGTCTTTTTTTCCCCTGCTTGTTTTAAACAGATGCAAATTACAACATTGTTAATTTAGTAAGAACTTAAATAACATCATTAAATTGTACTGTTGATCTTCCCCAAATTCCTGCTTATTACTAAATATAATACATTTTTTTAAATATATATAATTATTAGTTTAGTGGTGCATTTATAAAACAGTCTCATGGGACAAAACAAAACCACAGAATACAAATAGTATAGTTTGTTAAACTGCATGTCCAACAAAGTACTGCAACACCAAGACTCCAATCTGACTGAAAACACTTCTTTTCATATCTTTTTATTCTTAGCTTTCAAGTTATAAACCTCAAGGGTTGGAAATGTGACTGCAATGGAAAAATGCAAATGCGGAATTTCAGTGCTTTTGTATGTGATAAATGTTCGGAGCAGATATGTGATGGAAGAACAAGAGAAGAACAAGAGAAAAGAGAAAATGGTGCCGTTTGCTCTGAACATAAAAATTGTTCAAGACCTTCAGGGGGCATGAGGCCACTATAGTGTTGCCATGGTAATGTACCGTTATAAAAAATGGTACCTGTCTTTTAATCACCGCCGCACTGTAAGATTTTTGAGGGTGGATTGTGGGGTTCATAATAAGGCAGGCAATCAGAAAAAAAGGAACCACATGATCTGCAAATCCATTCCCGTCCCTGCAGAGTGAAATCAATAGGTGGATGTATAAGAGCCGGTAACCAATCTGCATCGTATTAAGGAGAGCCGAAACACTGCTTTAAACACACTAACCAAGAAGTCCAGTTACAAAGAATATTTTCAATAAATCCTTAATAACGTAAAAGGAGATTCTGGATATGCAACAAAATAATTATAATAATCCCTGCGATATTAGATGTTTCCAGTTTGAGATTTGAAATGTACTTTTAGTGATGAACTGTAAACATTGCAAATGCAGTGTGGGTCTACAATAAGGCACTTCTCAGCAAGCTTCCTTCAACCCAGAGCCTTTTTAGATGAACATTGGGGGAAATAAATAAACATTTTGTACACGGCAGACATGTATTCTCAAATAGGAGCTTAATGTAGCATCAGAAAAAGGCTTCAATAAAGGCGACTGGGTCCTCAGCTGCTGAGTGAACACATGAATGAATACTTCAGGTGTCAGGGTGTTAGAGAACTACTTTGAGCTGTGGACGTGATCTTTATCTTGGTGTTAAACGAGCTATACGGTGACTGTTAGTCATCTCAAACTGCCCGAGACACTTTGTCACTTCTCCTTGCACTCGCAGGCGGAGGTGTGCGGCTGGTTGGAGCTGTGGCATTGTTTCCACAGCAACGGGGCGCTGAAAATGCCGATGATGCCCAGGTTGAGGACGAGGCTGGCCACCAGCACCCCGATGGTCCCCAGGAAGGAGGGCCCGGCTCCGTGGGCCAGGAGCCACGTCCGCCGCGACGCCATGTCTGCCATCACACCCTCCATCTGGAAGTGGGTCCCCACCACTGCGCTGATGTGGAACAGCTGGTGGCTGTGGCCTGTGTGAGGGGGGAAGACAAGACTGAGTGTAGGAAACAACAAGGTAGGGATGAAGACTTAAAGAAATGTGCATGGATAAAGATTTCACTTTTGAACGGACATGTGGAAACAAAAAACTTGAGCTGAAAGTTGTTCAATCTAGTGGTCAATCTTGTGAAAATGTTTCCACATAGGCCTATATTTATAATAATACATTGTATTAATCAAGCCCTTCATCAGGTGCTCAAAGACGCTTTACAGAGGCAAAAAAATAAGATGAGCAATAAAACCACATTTACCACAGGGACACGGCACCAATCACACATTCAAAGCTAGTCCAAAAGGCGAGTTTTGGTCAGTGTTTTGAAGGTGGGGAAGTTAGTACAGTCTCCGGTTTGTTGTGGGAGTGAGTTTGGGAGGAGGGGGGGGGGATAGAGAATGCTCCGTCCCCCCAGGTTCAGTGCTTGGTTAGAGTAGGGACAGACAGGAGGTCGGCTTCTGATGAGCGAAGGCTGAGGGAAGGAGGGGGTTTTTGAAAGGTATTCGTTGACTGACGGGGAACCAGTGGAGATTTCATATTAAGCAAGCAGTCAACATTAATTACACTGTAATCTGTGAGTTTAGTGTATTGACCTGTACTTAAATCATGTTTTATAATTGTTTGTGTGATAGAGGTTATGCAATGATTTTAGTGTTTGTTGTTTGTTATGTACCGACCTAAGGACTGCAGATGGAAATGAATCTGCACGATATTGAAAAAAAATGACATTTTTTTCCCCTGCGATATATATTATGGTTTTTTTAACTATATTTAACCGGATGAAGGATTTTAGTCACGGACGTCTGGATCTTAACTGGTTGACTCATCGTACCTTAAGTCATGATCTAACATGTCATGATAATGCATGCTGCTTACCCTCAAATAAGGGGGTTCATCTGTGAATGAAGAAGAGAAGAACCTTTTGTATCTAAAATAGTTCCCAGGATGGTATATTGCGTTTTTTTTAACTATATTTAACCGGATGAAGGTATTGTCCTCCTGTGCCTCGCTCATTTTTTACCGGTGTTTTGATTGTCTGCAAACTAGCGGGGCGGGGCCTGCTGTGATCTGATCAAGAATGATTGTGATTGCTAAAAAACATCAGGTAGGATTTTCTGGGGTGGCATGGGAAAGGGATTCCCTATATTTTTTCTTTCTCTGTCTTTTCTTTTTCTATTGTCTATATCATTTGTATCTGTATAAGTCCCTTTTGTGAGAAAAAAAAAACAAAACAATAAAAAGTTGGTCACAAAAAAAAAAGAATGATTGTGATTGGTGGCTTGCTGTGCATGCAGAGCCTGCATGTCACTCACTCAAGTACCCCTGACATGAGAGCCGCGCAAGTTTTCCTTTTGTAGCAAGCAGCAAAATAACTGTAACATGATGTGTTTGAGTTAATGTACCTACTTAATATCGCACGTCCTAAAAAAAGAAAAATGAAAAAAAAAAAAGTATAAAATCGCACGTCCCTGCGATGTGAATATTGCGCATGCGCATATCGCGGTTATCGCCATGACATGATATATCGTTCAGCCCTAAAATGAGCTATTAGCTAAAATCTCTTCTCTTTTCTGAGATTCATGTATTTGTATGCATGGTCCTTGTTGAAATAAATACATAATATAAAGGTATCGGAGCAGTGTGGGTGAGGAGGCGGGCGGCAGAGCTCTGGATGTGTTGGAGTATATATTCTCGGGTGATGCTTTTTTGAATATGCACGCTCACCTTCAGGATGCAAACTAACAGAAACGTTCCATCCTTTGTCCAACGCTGAATTCAGCTGCTCAATTTTTGAACTTTTTAAACTCGCCCGAGATGTCCTTTATCTGTCTCACAAATGATGTTTCCTTATCATATTTTATGATGCTCATGTTTTCATGTTATTTTAGGCTACATTTAATTTTCTTTTGTGGTCTCCCTTCAAAGCAAGTTCCCCTTGGAGCAAAGAATGTTTTATTTATCCATTCAGTCCAACATTTTCTGCTCTTCACATTCTTCAAATGATTTCAAACTGCACATCTTTCTGTTTGTGCTGTAAGATGCACAAAGCAAGATATTCAAAAGATGTCACCTTGTCAGGGGCATTTTTTAAATATCCCCTGACATTTTATGGCTTAATAATAGTTTGTTTTCTATAAAGAATGATGGCTGTGTTTGAACCAATATAACCATGTGGAATTATCTGTATTTATCTCAGCAAGAGCTGCAACATTTAGTCAATATCACACAGTGTCTCTTCTGATCATTGATTCATCATTTTTGTTATTTCAAACTAAAATGCCAAGCATTACCGGTTTCCAAATGTGATGCTTTTCTTTGCCCTTTATAATAGTACAATAAATCTCAAATCAAACAAGTTATTATTATACTTCCCCTGGCTGTGCTCAGATCATTAAGTGTGATACATTATAACAGTTTATAAAATGCAACCGTAGGGAGATGCTGTACTATAGTCAGATCACCACAACATTAAGATATCACTTGCGGATCAAACCATTAATAATTTAATATTCTGATAAAGACTATATTTGATGCATCATCAATTCATTCGTTGATTGAATTATTCATGGGAGGTTTTGTTAATCGGTGCGTTATTTTGAAGAGCAACTTGTTATGTAAGGGATAATGTGCAGCAAGGCGGTCCTTATGGGTAAAAGAACACCCGACAGGCAGATCAGGAGCCCGACGCCAAGCGGCATCTCACATTATCCCGCTTATTACACGGCCACATTCTCAACAAAGTAACGACATGACTCCCAATATTAATTTAAATGCTTTTATAGATTTAGAAAATGTTTTTATTGATTTAAAAAATAGTTGTATGTATTGATTTAAAAAATAGTTGTATGTATTGATTTAAATTGACATGCATCCGCTAAGAAAAATAGTCCGTTGTTACAATTTTTTAAACAGTCTGAATGAAACGGCAGCTCTCAGCTGAGTATTTACACAACTAATGGCCCATCAACCATAGCTCTCTCCCCCCCTCTCCCCTTGATCTTTCTTCTCCAGCAGCTAAATTAACGGTAGGTTACTCTGAGTGACAAGCTTACAGTTAGACACAACACTGTCATTGCAAGTGACCCTCAGTTAGTTGACTTTTATGTTCAACTGCTAAATGCGTTACTGATAAAAAAGGGCTTCTACTGTACCTAATTACCTTAACACTAGAACCGCCAGAGGTTTTTGTATAGGCCTACCTAAACCCGTCGAATCCCGCTATTAGAATGCAATTTTTAACAACAGGGTGCTACATAACACACTTTCAGGAAAAGTCACGGACTGGGAGACTTTAATATTTTATTGAAAAAAAGTTACATTGCACACACACAACACACATCACACAAATTGACCCGATTGGCGGTTCTAGTGTTAAATAAACTCACTAATTAATGAAACCAGTTCAATACGCATTATTCTTATTCTTATCATTCTTTATGAGCGCAGAAATAGTCTTAAAATCAGATCTGTTTTTTAAATGAAATCTGACGGCAGGCAGTTAGCTCTGATCACCTATGATAAATGCGCCACACCTAATCGCTGGCCATTCAGCCACAGAGCTCCCTCTATACAAATCAAACTGTAGACGGTGTGAAAGCACCTATTGTTTTAAATAATGGTCGGAATGTGACCTGTGAGCCTTCTGAATTACCGTGGGACAGCACATTCTAAACTAAAATGTTCAATCAATAAAGTAACATCTTATCTAATCTTAATAATATCTTCATATTAATAATAATAATAAATCATACAGTATGTGTCCGAAAGGGAGCAGGAGGAAGCAAACACAAAAATATACAACAAATATACTGCATATTAAAGCAAACGATTGTAAGGTAAAAGTTGAGCATTACAAATAGAAATTTAATTAAACATTTAACATTAAATAGATTATTAATTATAAAGACCTATATATTAATAATAATATAATATTAGATAATATTTTCCAAATCATGGACATCACATCACCCGGTCCTCAAAGAACTCCCTGGTTTCCGTCTCACACCGCATCACTAAACTCCCT